ACTCAGATTGGCCACTTTACCAGCTGGGTGTAAAGAATGCATTTCTGAATGGAGAGTTACATGAGGAGGTCTATATGTCTCTTCCTCCATGATGTATGAATCAGATATGGAAGGGAAAGTCTACAAACTGAAGCAATCTCTTTATGGACTTAAAAGTCCCCTCGGGCATGGCTTGAAAAGTTTAGGGCTGCCCTTGTTATCTTTGGTTATGTATAGACTCAGTCTGATCATACCCTCTTTGTGAAGAGGAGAGGCTCTTTGGCAGTATATTTGATTGTGTATGTTGATGATATAGTTGTGACTGGTAATGATGTATCAGGAATTAATGATCTTAAATCTTTCCTTCATACAGAGTTTGAGATCAAAGATCTAGGGGAATTGGAGATATTTTCTTGGCATAGAAGTTGCTCGATCTAAGGATGGGATCATTATACTCTCAAGGAAAGTATGTACTTGACTTGCTCACTGAAACAGGGAAGATGGGTGCTAGACCAGTTGCTACTCCTATTGATATGAGTCATAAACTCTCTACCTCAGATGGAGTATTGTTGAAAGATAAGGGAGTCTTCCAGAGGCTACTTGGGAAACTGCTCTATCTGTGCATGACTCGGCCAGACATTGCATAATATGTTGTCAGTTGCATTAGTCAGTTCATGCATGCTCCCAGGGACACTCACATGGCAACAGCAAAACAAATTTTGTGTTATTTGAAGGGTTCTCCTGGAAAGGGAATTCTATTTGCTAAGCATGATCATATGAAACTTGAAGCTTACACAGATGCTGATTGGGCCGGAAATATCGATGACAGAAGATCTACCTCTGGGTACTGTAGCTTGGTGGCAGGTAATATTGTTCCTTGGAGAAGCAAGAAACAATTAGTTGTTGCTAGATCTTCAGCCGAAGATGAATACAGAGCCATGGCTCATGGAGTTTCTGAGCTCCTGTGGCTTCGATCCTTGATGGATGAACTGGGTATTGAGCATGATAAGCCATTGATGTTATACTGTGATAATCAGGCTGCCATCAACATTGCTCACAATCTAGTGCAACATGACAACCAAACATATTAAAGTTGACAGACATTTCATTCAAGAAAGAGTGGCTTCTAGAGAAGTTTGTCTACCTTTCATTACTTCTGAAGGACAGTTAGCTGATTTCCTTACCAAGGGCATCCCTAAGGCTAAACTTCAGCATGATACTAGCAAGCTTGGCATGATTGACATCTATGCTCAGCTTGAGGGGGAATGATGAACTGAATGGCCCATAGACTGTCTTATTTTATTTCTTTATGTTCTTTGCTGTAATGGGCCTCAACTTAGGCTTTTTTCTCGTACGTTGTCTTTTAATTATCTGCCCAACTAAGGGCCTCTCTGTAAATTACTAAAATTAAGTTAATGAAATAGGATTAAGGGTGTAAGAGGAGGTTATGTTCGAAAATCTCTCTCTGAACCCATATTGCCACCACCTTCTTCTTCCTCTTCTCTCCTTGAAACCTGATTTCTGCTATTCTCAATCAATTTTCTGCAACATTTTGAACAGTCTTTTCATTTCAAAAGGCTGTTTTTCTTCTCAGCTCTCTCCTGTATGAAGTGTATCTACCTCAATATGCTTTTATTTGTCATGCTGAATTGGGTTGTGAGCTATATTAATTGTAGCCTGATTATCACAGTACAACATCAAGGGCTTAACATATGCAATGCCCATCTTCATGTCTGTTGTAGTAGTGCAATCTGATTTTCTGAACACTCGGTTAAATACTGTTACTCTCAATGATACTAATTATGTACCATGGACTAAATCTGTGGAAATTTCTTTAATTGCAAGAGGAAAGTTGAAAAATGTTACGGAAATCAACCTAAGAGTGGGTCTTAGGGGTATGGTTATTGGGTACAGGAAAATTCTCAAATTATGATTGCCTTATAGAATAGTATGGAAAACAACATTAGTGTTAATCTCATGTGTCTGGACCCTGCCAAGGAAATTTGGGAACATGCCCAACAATTGTATTCTAGGCGAGACAATGTGACACAGATCTATGAACTATATCAAGATTATTTTTCTCTTTAACAAGGTGATAAGAGTGTAGAGGAGTATTTTGCTACCTTCAAAAATCTATGGAATGAGTTGAATGTTTATCAATCTCTCTTACCCGATTTGAATGTACAATAAGCTCAAAGGGAACATTTAAATGTTGTCAGATTCCTGTCAAGATTGAGATCAAAGTTTGAACCTGTGAGAGCTCTGACTTCAGAGAAGTCTGTCTTAGTAGTAGCTAGATGTGGTGGAGGTGGAAGCGTTAGGAGGAGAGGTGCAGTCAGAGGTGTTGGTTGCCGTTTTAGAGGTGGTTGTGGTGGAAGTAAGGAAGAGGTGGTGGAAGAAACAGTGGTAGTCGTGGTACTATTAGAGAGTGCACACATTGTGGCTAAGAGAGGGACAGTTGCTTTCTGTTATGACTTTCATGGTCCTCCATCTTCCTAGGCCAATCATATCATAATTGAGGATTCTTCCTAGGCCAATCATGTCATAATTGAGGATGACATTGGTATTAATGATTCTACTGATGTGTTGCCTATCCACAGGAGTTGGTCCCTAGTTTGGCATCGATGTCTCAGTTGGATTGTGAATTGTCCCAACTCAGCAAGCATCATAGAGTCACTTTTGTTACCTGGGAAGATAATATAGTCTTAAGTTGTTTTTTATCTTGTCAACTTAGATGTTTGGGGTCCAAGTCATGTGTCTTCTTATAATGGATTTTGATGTTACCCTTCATTGATGGTTATTCAAGAATGACATGGATATAAATAACGAAAGAACGTTCAGAATTCTTCTCCATTTTCCTTTCCTTACATGCTGAAATTTGAAATCAGTTTGGTGTTTGTACTAAAGTTTTCATTTTGATAATACAAAGGAGAATTTCCATAGTTCCTTTCAATCTTATTTTGACAATTGAGACATTATACATCAATCTTCCTATTCCCACACACCTCAGAAAAATAGTGTAGCTGAACCTGAACGGAAGAATCATCACATTATTGAGATAGCTTGTGCCTTTTTACTCCAAATGTCTGTCCCTAAAACCTATTGGAGTGATGCTGTTCTCACTTCATACTTCTTGCTCAATCGCATGCCTACATCTGTCCTTACTAAAGACTAACCATTTTTTGTCATGTTCCCCTCAAGGTCCCCTTTCTCTCTCCCTCTGCGTGTTTTCGGCTGTATTTGTTTTGTCCATCACTTGGGCCCTAGGCGTGATAAACTTGAGTCCCAAGCAATCCAATGTGTCTTTCTTGGCTACTCTAGCACCTAGAAGGGGTACGAATGTTATGATCCTATCCTTCGTAAGTCATTTGTTGTTCCTGACATCACCTTCTTTGAGAGTCTTCCTTGTTCCTGATGGAAAATTGATTTATCTCACCATCACACCACTCAAATATCTCCTTTGGTGTAGGGGTTCTGTCAGTTCATGCAAAACCCCACAATCAATCATTCATTGGGAAGGTGTTGTGAGAGTGTTGAGATATCCAAAAGTGCTCTAGGTCAGTGATTACTATACAATAAAGGGAGAGAATTAAACCTTAATGGACAGGAGTTCTACTATAGGGTACTGTATCCTTTTGTGTGGCAATCTCATTACTTGGAAAATTAAAAAACAAAGTGTAGTGGCTAGGAGTACTGCTGAGGCTGAGTATATAGAGCAATGGCCCACACCACTTGTGAGTTGATATGGCTGAAACTTCTACTTCAAGAGATAGGTATTCCTATAGGGAAACCTATCAAATTGTTTTGTGATAATCAAGTCTCTCTTCACATTGCATCCAATCTGGTCTTCCATGAGAAGACCAAGCGTATAGAAGTCAATTGTCATTTTGTAAGAGAAAAGGTGATAAATGGTGATATTGTTACTCCTTATGTCAAGTCAGAAAATTAGCTGTCAGCTACCAAGAGCTTGTGTCGTACTAAGATGGATTATATTTGTAACAAGTTGGAGATCTATTATATATATATGCTCCAACAGTGTTGAAATGTATGCCCATAAGGGGCGTTTTGGTCTCTTAGCATAGCATTGTATTTTCCCCTGTTATGAATCATTTAACAGGAGCATTTTTGTATTTTTTGCACATTCTAAAGAATGGAATAACGGTGCAGGTCAACAAGGAGAAGAGTTCAGTTCGTATCTTCTTCCTTTAGACCCTTTTTAACTTTCTTTTTGTTCTCTACTGTAGGAGACATATTTCTCTACCTTTTCCCTTCTTTTTCTTCTCTTTCTTCCTTTATTCTCAAGTTGTAACATAAATTTCCATATGTTTGTGCAGTTATCATACACATACATTATCTCTGTTCTATATCTTTGCCACATTTAACATCATAGGGGCTTTATCATTAACAGAATAAGTCTCTACCTTTAAGCTTGTTTATTCATGCTCAGAAACACATTTTAGGTTTTTCATTCATAGATTGTGCAATGCTCTGCTTTTGTTCTACTCTTAATGCTTGAGTTTTTCATGATAGGTCAGTTCTAATGTTTTCTAGTTGCAACTTACTAGGGATAAGGACTAATTCATAAAAAACTAGAAAAACAAACTAAAAATTAATCAGGCTTTTTTATATAAAAACATTTCCCAGGCAACAAGGGTCTCTGTTTCCTGGCCCTGTCTTAGTGTGTTTACATCTATGTTGGTAAAGGTGGGTTCCACACATATTGCAGAGTGTAAGATGGATTCGTAAAGCTTGCAAGAAAATAATTGTATGTATAGATTTTTTTCGAGTATTTAATACAAGTACCTTCACCATTGTTTTAGTGGAAAGAGGTTACACAAAAGTTTCTCTAATTTTAAAAGAAAATGTCATCCTCATGACCATGGATATGAATTAGTTAGTTACATTTTTCTCTTCTTTTTTTAGCTTCTTCTGTATGTTTGATCTTTGAAATATAATTGGTGTTTCATTGCAATCCCCAATCAGTTGATTTACACTTTCATAACATACATATTATGTTACAGGTATCTCTTTGGACGGTCCTATCATTACTTCTTGTGGCACTGGCGTAACTGCATGTATTCTTGCACTGGTAATATTTTCATTTGAATTTGTCAACTACTTTTTTAATTATGATATTTTAGAATAAGAAGAGCTTATGCTTCTAATTTCAGGGACTTCACCGACTTGGGAAGCATGATGTTCCTGTTTATGATGGATCTTGGACTGAGTGGGGTGCACAATCTGATGTTCCTGTCGCCACTAGTTAAAATGTTTGTGCTCCTCGGCTACATGAACTATGTAACGTTCATCTTGTTTTGATATTGAGAGATTGTGTAGGTACCTCTCTGTGTCTATCGTGAATAATATAAGCAGAACGCTTTCATTGCAAATACCTTCTTGAACATGGGAGTTGCAACTTTAGAAGTCCTTTAACTTGGATTCTTAAGGCCAGATGAATATACTGCCAAGCAAAGATCAAATTGTTTATTTAAGAATCTGGTTCTTCCCCTACGAATCCAATGTTTTTAATGTTTTTCCTCGTTTCCTTAGGACAAGAAATATGTCACTGTTTGCATTTAGACTTCCAGCACCTTTTTTTCTACTTCTAACATTAGGTGTCTGGAGAACAGATTATGCAATCGAGTGGAACTAAAACAAGAGATTTAGGCTGCACTTGGCATTCCTTATTTTAACGACTCATCTCCTTTTTTCTGTTAAAAACTCGGTGTTCATAAGGGCATTTTAACTGCAAAAAGGAGATCCTTAAAATAAGGAATACCAAATGCAGCCTTAATGTCTCAGCATAGCTCTGTACGCCATGCATTACTCTTGTTTGTTCGCTTTTTCTAGGATCATCTGCCGGAGCAGAAACTAATGACCTAAATTGATTCATTTGTGTTCACTTGCCCCATGTGTAATTGTATTTGGGAGCTGTGTTTGGTTTGGAGGGAAAAGTAGGGAAAAAGAAGTTTGTATAGGTTTCCTTACCCTTCCATACCTTTTCCTTCAAACCAAACACAGCCTTAAGACTGATTAATTTTCCTCCCTCTAGAAGTTTCAAATATGTAATATGCCAAGAATCAAGATGAACTGTTAATCAGGGGAAACAAAAATAAAGATTTTGAACTTGTATACATTGACCAAAAATATAATATATAATTAATAACCAATTGAAGTTAAATCAACTAGGGGCTTTTTTGATGAAAAACAGAATGCAATCAACTAGGATTAAAGAAAACCATGGAAGGATGATTTGGCCCATTGGCTTCTGTAAAAAGTTATCAAAAGAAAGTATACATTCACTAGGTCATGCTCCGATTACTTGTCATAGTTACAACATAGATTCTATATCTTAACGGCTCTTAATGAATGTCTGCTAAAATATTGATATTGATAAAATTTTATGTTCATAAATGTTAATAAAAGTTATATTGGTTTTATTGGAAAAACAAATATTCATAAGTGCATATATTAGTTATATTGGTTTTATTGAAAAAGGAAATATATCTTTTGTTTGTATTTAACTTATTTTTAATTGGAGTTGCGAATGTCTCAGGTTAATAATCCGTTCCACATGATAGGCCAAGAACAATCCCATTCATTTATTGGGAAATTGAGTCTTTGTTAGACAGTTGTATGCCCTTAATTTCAATCGAAATGATGTAAATTATGAATTTATTGTAAATGAATAAATTACATATTTCATTCATGTTCCTATGGTGTGTTTCTGTGTAATACCCTTAAACTGGACACTTATGAGACTCGTGTTAGTTTAAAATGTTCACAACCGTTGGATAAATCTGGAGAGATTTATCCTGTCAAAACTGACACTGGTGTGCTGCCAAATGTTGGGGTGGCCCGCCAGGGTGCGACCCAAGGCACATGTAGTGCAAGATTAATTGAATCCTTGAACCAGACTAGATTTTCAGTATTGCCTTTGACCTTGGAGATTGATGGGCAAAACTAGAAAATTACACCTGACCCCTACACTCGATTATGATACTGCACTAAGTGTTGGATTAGGTTGTCTTTGAAATGCCAATTACTGATATCCGTACCAGGGGTCAAAACTTGGGTATGTTGGAACAGTCTGAGAATTCATCTAAGTGGGTGATCATAGTGACAGGATTAACCCCTTTGTCGGACAAAGGTAATGATCGAGCATGCACTCTCTCTAATGGAAACCAAGACTACCGGCAGCCGATTTCAATCGTTGAGATTTGTTTTGCAAAATATATTTTATATGAGATATAAAAATATATATATATATATATATATATATATATATTACAGTTTCCAAAATGTTCACAAGAAGGTTTTAATTCCCGGGATCCATATAAG